GGTTGGGAAGTGATAGTGATAGAGAGGAAGAGAGGGGACTGCAAAGGCGCGCTTGCAGCTTATTTTCTAACTGATCCCAGAAGAGAATTATATATATATATATATATATATATATATATATATATATATATATATGCGTAAGTAGGTATAATTTAGTCTTCGTATTATTACCATTTAAAATTTCTTTTACATAATTTATATTAAAATTATGTCTCAATTTAATCAAAACTCGCGTATAAATGTGTATTACTACTAAATTTAAAAATGATTACAAGGTGAGTTAAAATAATACATAGTAAGCAGTATATGCGGGTAATGGAATTGTATTTGAATGAGTCAATTGTCATACTCACAATGCCAGTTCAATAGGTTCCTAAGAATGTTATGTGACGTTTGTCCTTTATGCCTTATGGTGCATGTGTATGTGCCCATATCACCACACGTGACGTTGTATATGTTATGAGTGTGATTGTTTGCGTGTGTGACACTGAAGGTGTCACCATTTCCAACTGAGATAGTGAGCGTGTCACCATCTGTGTAGCGTGTAGCTGTGCAGGTGAAGGTAGCCGTGTCACCCTCTTTCATCAGATAGCTTTCACTTAAACGATCAACATAATCAACATTGTTTACTGTAAACATCGTTTCTTTCAGTCTGTCTGATAAATAAAATATTATACAGTGTTGCGTTTATGTTGTTTTACCATCCACACCAAGCATATTATGTGACAGTGAAATCAAAGTAAATTTGAGATGACTTTAAAAATATATGATATGAAATATATCATAAGAATTAGAACCGAAAAAAATACCAAAAAGTGCAGAGTATGATATTGACTTACACTCTAGACATGTAAATGACAGGTAAACCTAATTGCGTAACATATTCGCTCCATTTTAATATGCACAATTACATATTATCCGTTTGTGAACTCTACTGCAGCACTAAACTTTTATACTTGTTTTTTATCATTTGCAACATTATTTGTTTCTTTATTTATTGGAATCAATTTTTTAATAAATTAATTTCCATTGTTATAATAGGTAACTATTTACCAACATAATTTATTCCAATAAAAAAATTTCAACTCTTGCTTGTCCCGCAGATTGAAACAAATTTACACAAAACTATTATCACGTTGTACACATATATAAGATTTGATGTGTATGGTCTATGTATTCTAACATTACCATCACATATAGCCATATTCTGTCTTGAAAGTTGGCTGTGTGAGGAAACAAATTATTGTAAACAACAAACAATAAACTTCTAATCATCCCAATGCTGGTCCCATTTAAGCAAGTTGTGAAATTAAGTTTCAGTTAAATAATAGTGTACCTGAATGAGCTCATTAATTGTATAATCCTTTTGATTGGTATAACCGGAAATATATTGTTAGCGACCTTTCACATAGTCTTTAAATTTCCGTAGTTTTACGTTGTGTCGCAAAACATAAAAAGTGTCAAAGCTTCATCTGATTTCATTATTAGAAACTTTTACTTGCTTCACAAAAACCGTTTGTTTTTTATGTTTGTGGTTTATATATATATATATATATATATATATATATATATATATATATATATATATATATATATATATATATATATATATACAGAGATAGAGAGCGAGAGGTAGAGAGAGAGAGATGTTAAAAATGACTGACAAAGTCAGACTACGTGTATGTAAAAAAAAAACTGTAGCGTCGCATACAATTAAAGAGCTACCAATAACTATTGTGCATTTCGATAATTCTTTGCGCAAAATGCATACCTCCTTCTATGGTTCGTTAAAAGAACACATACAGTTGAAATTGTATTTATGCTTAAAACTGGAAATAAAAAAAATATTTTATATCTTGCTCACTTTTGGTACAAAATTTTTGCTTGGAATAAAATGTTACTAATTAAAAATTATAATTTGAAATTATAATAATGACTATTTCGTAATAAGTTACCATTTACCAGTTTTCTTGATCAGTAATGGGTGTTGTATACAACTTCAATCCTTGTGACGAAAACTCTTTAATGGGCGTCAAAATATATGCTAGACGAACGTTAAACAAATAAATAGCCGACCACGATGATTATATTTTATTTAGCTCACGGAGTAGGTTAGCAGGTTCCATTACTGTCCGTGGTACACACAATACTGCTAGCACAAAGGTTCCTCAACTTTATAGCGCAATTTCCATTCTGGAGAATTGCGTTTATTAACCCGTCATTTCTGGATAGATGAATGGATGGATAAATGAATGTGTGTCCGCAGCTTTAAGTCGTATCTCCTCCTCAACGAAGCAATATCGAGAACTAGTTCCAAAAGCAATTATGTTAAGCAAGTTACGAGGATGAACATAAAAATTCCGGGTTTCTTTCATAGATTTCCCGGAAAAGCAAAAAAAAACTCGAAAAAAAAATGCAGTTTTTTACCCATATCTCGGCAACCAGACCATTTAGCGACTTGAAACATGTACCAATCGATTTCTGTCATAATTTAGAACAATATTGCCGAAGAAAGTTTTCAAAAATATCCTTTCGTTCGGTCACAAAAAATTTTTTGAATTAATTAAAATTTGGACCGAATTAGTAGGCATATGTATCCAACCACACCACACGCGTCATCACGTTCAATAGCTGCGCCATCACGTTCAATGGCTGCGTCATCACGTTCAGCAGGCGCGCAATGGTTTTTAGTCATGTAACTCTATTGTAAATAAAACATGTAAAATACTGAAAAAAAATTAATAAAAAACGTTTTAATAGCTAACCAATGGTTTTACTAACCCTGCTCTTGATTTACGCTACGACAGAGCTATTTTTAGATAACATAAGGAAATTGCGCTTAAATGTCACTAGACTTTTTAATTAACTTGTTTTACCATTTATTAGTGAAGAGTAAAAGAAAATGCACATCGGGTGCACCTTACAATTAAACAAAAACTGAACTTGTGCGTGAATCCAATTTCTCTTCACTTTTGAGGCCACTTTGAAGCAAAGGGCCGCAACTATACTTTCAAAATGCACTTGATTCTGGGCAACGATTTTCAGCTTAGAGGTCATCCATAAATAAAGTCACTCTTTTTTGGACTAGTGTACCCCCTTTTCCACCGTCACACATCGTCACAAAAAGCCAGACCCCATCACCACTTAAATGCCGTCAAAATTGCAGTTGAATTGTTCTTAAAAGCGATATTTTTTCCCAAATCTTGTCTAAACTCTGTCAACATAGATTGGTTCAATCAATAGCTATTACAATTAATCAAAATAGTTTTCTAAGATGCGAAATAACGTCAAAAATTCGTCTTCTAGCATTGCTTTTTTATAATGCAAAAGTGTGACGTCAAACAACATGGACACCCCCCCTCCTCTTCACAGAGGCGTAGCGGCCTTTCCCGGCGGGGACAAACTTCGATTTTCACCCCCCTCAAGCTTTTATTTTTATTTTTCCAACCCATTTCGGCGCCCCCTAAGGTCGGCGCCCGGGGACATATGTCCACCCCGCCCCCCCCCCCCTCCCCCTCGCTACGCTACTGCCTCTTCAGTATCTACGAGTTTGACGTCATTTTATGACGACCCTTTTCCCCAGTAATCTTTCGGGATCTTCTTGGTTTCAAACTTTCATTTTGTCCATACAGCTGACAGTCAAGTGTGATATTTTCCTCCAATCTTCTCAGACTTTCCAACCCACCCCACTTGTAGGTTTTATTGGTTTTGAAATGTTCCACGGGTGTTCACTGATATTCTACTCGCTCAGAGATTCTTCCACGGAACGAAATGAAATTTATATAATTTATATAGAAAATATATACTTTTAACAGTGTCCGCCCCCCCCCCCCTCCCAGAAGAAAGTCTACCACCCCCCCCCCCCCCCGAAAATTTCAAGTGCACCCCCCCCCCCCCCAGAGAAGAAAGTCTGGAAGAAACACTGTACTCGCTAGCTTTTTGTATGGAACCTTAAATGAAACTGTTCAGTTCTTAATTGTTTAGGTCACAATGAGGCAATTTCATTTTGGGCGCTGTGAGGCTGACGTGCGATGTAATTTTAATGAACGTTACTTTTTTTTATTTGATATAAAGAAATATGTGAGATAATCACTGACGTTTATACAACCTTTGCCTTAGGTCACATTGCCCAGATAATTCTCTGCTGGTGGGGAGGCTTGTGGTCAAACGTAGCAACTCTTCGTTATCACACATCTAATGCAACTTTGTACTTCATATTGTCTAGAAACATTCTTTAGAAATGACAAATTCGAAACGAGAAATATAATTCAACTTAAAAGTAACCATTATAATAATTTAAGTATTTATATTTAATATATATATATATATATATATATATATATATATATATATATATATATATATATATATATATATATATATATATATATAGTAATCTATTAGGCAGATGAAGTAGAGTTCATGTGTTTATTGACCTCGGTATATAAATTGAAAGTGTAATCAACACTTTGTCCATCCGCCTATACTTTCCATAACATGAGTTAGGTACCAATCAGGACTGAGTTGCTTCAGAGCCGTTATATTGACATGAACCCGGATTAGAACGCTAGAATTTAGGGTTAGAAGCCTATCGTTATACCGTTTAGGCCACCCTTTTATACTTTATATATGAAGGGTAATAAAAAGTATAATTGTAAATGCATAAGTATTTTTTTAAACGGCCAACTTTCTCTCTAACTCTCTCTGTCTCTCTATCCGTCTATATAACTATTTTGCCTGTCTCTCTCTCTATCCGTCTATATAACTATTTTGCCTCTCTCTCTCTCTATCTCAATATATTGCTCTGTCAGTCTTTGAAATTATTCATTCAAATATCAGAACTTTTATTAAAAATATAAGGCCTAAATTTTAAAAACTGTGTTACTAATATAACTGGACAAAAGCGTAGTACCACAACAGCAAGAAAGTCACTTCTTAAATCTTAAATAATGATAGTTAATAAAGTTAACCAAAACTTGTTTGTATTTACAAATTTTAATGCTTTAATCTAATATTAAGTTTTTTTTTAACGATGTTATTTACGGTAGCGTTGGTTGTTTTCAACTAATTTTCATGATGTTGTGTCCAGTGAAATTTTAAGCTTTGATGGTTAGAGCTTTGTTGGATTCCTTATAACACACTATGAGATATCGCAAGTAGATTCCCAGGTGTTTAGTGGCATTTAAGCAAGGAACAAGAAAATTATTCACCTAAAAGTTAAAAAATATAATTATAAATAATAAATTATTTAAGCGTGTATTTTGAGTTAACAGATTAAACGTAAAAGCAGCACTATACACAATTATTTACTACCTTAAACCTAAATGTGTTGAGATATATAATATAAGCCGCTTGGTAGTGTGTCGGTCATTGATTGACATCGGTATAACAGTTTCAGGCTTTTTTTTCAATAGATATTTCCTATCAATCATCTCTTATCATTATAGAATATATCAAATAATTCAATATTCAATCGACATTTGGCTAAATAAAGTACGAACATGTCAACCTTGTTTGCATCGCACTGTATTATTAAAAATAAGGTTTTGTAGTTTAGTATGCACTGATTTTCCTTTCTGCATTTATTGAAAGTTTTGATTTTATACGACACTACAGCTTATATTAATAGAAAACAATTATATATATATATATATATATATATATATATATATATATATATATATATATATATATATATATATAAATATATATATATATATATATATATATATATATATATATATATATGTATATGTGTATATGTGTATATGTGTACATGTGTATATGTGTACATGTGTACATGTGTACATGTGTGCATGTGTGCATGTGTGCAAAATAAATCTTATATTACTTCTATAAAAGTGTAGCAGAGCCCATGAAAAAATCAGCATCCCGAAGATTAGGTTCTCGGTAACTATCTTGATTGAGCTACCGTTTGTTGAGTAATGTATGGCTTGAAAAAGTGAAGCTATACACAAGAAGATACATTTAGTTCACATCAAGAAGATGCATTATACATTTTAATATAATAAGAAGAATATCACATAAAGGTTTCCGGCTAGACTTTGCATCAGCTTTATAGCCATGTCTAAATATAATTGTTCATGTTGTTTTGCATTATATCACACAATTATATCACACAATCAATTTCCTTTTGCGTTTTATTTTCTTATACCTAGCGATAGACTAAAATATAAATGAAAACGAATATTTAATTGTGAAAAATGATTTTCGTTTGTTTATCTCTCAACAGACTGAGGGGTTTTAGTGATATTTTCATAAGGTCGGTGCTTGTTTCTATACTCATCTGCACTCTTAAATATAATAATACATATTAAGGTAGTATTTGATTATAATATTTCAATTTACAGGCAGCATAGCACTCTCTTATCTAAGGGTCAGCGAGGTAATGTAAACACACTTACGTTACATTTAGCTTATATTAAGCCATTTATTTTTGAATATTGGTTTAATAGTACGGAATAATATATTGGAGGGACGGCTTCTCACCTGATAAATAATGACACCTGTAGGCTAAACGTTTGGCATCAGCTTCGTCAAAGTAAGTTACACTGCAACAGTACCAGCCAATGTCTTCGGTATTTAAGCCCCCAATTACCAAAAGAAGTCGCGCTCCATCTTTGTCCATTCTATCGTTGGGCTTCACGAGTTCATTATGGATGGTCCAGCTCAAGCGATGTTTTCCACTTGGCATTCTCTTAGTCATAACTGGGTGCTGTACTCATAAATGTATTGGATTTAAATTAACAAAACTTTTATAATCATATTGGTGGTTATGTGCTTAAAGTATGTTGATGTAATGATGCAGAGGCGTATACCAGTTTTTTCGGGCTAGTGTGAGCGACAAGCCGAGAAAAGGCTATATATATATATATATATATATATATATATATATATATATATATATATATATATATATATATATATATATATATATATATATATATATATATATATATATATATATACTAGCTGCATCCCGTGCTCCGCCGCGGTAAATCTTTGTAAAATGAACCAACTTGGGAACAGAACAAAACTAAACAAAACACAAACGAACGCAAAAAAAAAACGAAACAGCAAAGACAACACTCATAACATAAACACAATTTAAATGCAATCATAAAGGCATATTGCTCACAGTCTAGCCTGTAGCGCCAAATCGCGCCCTTTCCAAGCGCCGGCGCGCGTCTGACACAGTGAATGACTATAAAACAGTCGTAGCGAGTTGCAACCCCCCCTCCCCCACTCAGACTTTCGATTTGCACCACTTTTAATTTGAAATTCCCCCCGCTCAAACTTTTGAATTGCACCCCCACAAACTTTCGATTTGCATCCGCCCACCGCCCTCAAACTTTCGATTTTCACCCCCACCCCCCAAATTTTTTCCAACCCTCTTTGGCGCCCCCTAAGGTCAGCACCCGGGGACATATGTCGCCCCCCCCCTCCCCCTCGCCTCTCCTATAAAACCTCCACGTTTTCCGCAAACCGAAATATTGAATAATAATTAGTAAACAATACGCTCAGTTATATAATAAATAATAGGCAGCATTTAAAATATCCGTGTTTTACTTACCATATATCACTTTATCAATTCACGCATTTTTTTCAGTACTTTAAATTTTAAAAATTAAACAATAGAGTTTCATAAGTAAAACCATTATGCACCCAATGAACGTGATGACGCATCTATAATAGTGCGGAATATTTGATTAAAAATTATAAGTAGTAAACAGTACATTCAGTGAATAAAATAAAATTAAAGATTGCCTTTTTTCAATCCATGCTAATTTTTTTTTAACAATTATTTCCTCTTAGACATCCGCATAATTTGCATTCACATTTTGCTAATTATATTATTGCAACACTAATTCCTTCTAGGACGCCCGTAGATTTGCATTCACATTTTTTTATTAGCGTGAGTTTAATTTATTTTTAAATTACCTCCCTTTTCAAAATAAGAAAAAAGAGTTAAATTAATTTGATTTTTCTACCCTACTGTTATTATGTTATTAAAATGTATCCACTTTTTCTAGGAATATAAACGAATGATATTTGACATTGAACTTTTTAATATGTTTTAGCAATGTGCGTGTATTATTATATTTTCTTTACGTTATACAAAAGCGTAAAAACAGTGGCAACTATAAAATAACTGGTTCATGTTAAATGTTTACAATCGTAGAGACGTGTATAGTAACGCCTATAAGGTACAGATAATTTAGTTTGAAACTATTTTAAACTTAGGGGATGTAAATAAGAGGAGGCTGCTTTCAACGGGGGGGGGGGGGGGGGGGGGGGGGGGGGGGGGTAGGGTAGGACATGGGCGAAAGAAGGGTGGGGGGCGAGTTTATCGTCCTAAACGACCTACTGATAGTGTTTTAAAGCAAATATTTTCAGTGGCAGCATTGGTACTTTCGAATTCATAAATTATTAATTACTGAAAAGTAGAAAATAGAACAACTAAATAGCGGCGTATGATACGCCGCGGGTCGGCTCGTCAAATATATATATATCAATTGGACCATAATGGAAAAGTTAAAAAAGATTTTTAATTAAAAAGAATACTAGAAATAAACAACTAATACAAAATATATAAGTTTATACTAACACATTTATTTAGGTAAAGCTTAAATTATATTCTGTTGTGATACTTACTTTTAAATGCTTTCTAAACTTACACTTACCTTACCAACATTCCCGTATGAACTTAGTGTTATAAAAAAATAGGAGTTCGGATCAAAATCTTTATTTTGCCAGAACAACGACACGTTTTCCATCTCTGTTGCTGTATCCGGAATTCCTGCGAGTTTAGAGGTACATTGAATCCTTTTATAGAATGATCCTTTCCAATTTTCGCTAGGTTCCAATATAGATTGATCTGTAACTGTAATTTTTTTGAAAAAGAAAAGACAATGAACCTACGTTTAAACACATCAGAACATCATAACATTACAATTTTGGGGTAAATTTATGTATATATATATATTTATATATATTATATTTAAATGTTTGTTTGTATGTATGTATGTATGTTTATTAATGTATATTGTTTTTAAATTTAAAAACAAGAACACTCCGAATTAGAAAAATAAGCTATTAGTTGACATTAGGAAAAATCAAACATTTTTTAGTTAAAGCTAGAAAAAGTTATGAATTTTAGTCACTTGTTGTTTAACTGAAAAGAAATATTATATGTTCAAAAATAATTGATGCGATTAAAGTAAAAAATGGAATAGCCTAATAGAAATATATACCAATATATTACTTATTATTTTAAATTTCAATTTAAAAAATATTTTTTTTTAGGTTTTTACATACATTGAAATTTAAAACAATTAGTAACAATATTTGAAAAAAGTAGGTTGACACTAAAAAACACACATAATCCTCATAAAAGACACCAACCTATAAAGTCCTCACAACGTTTTGCGGGGGGCTGTTGCATTCTTCCGTTCTTGCTGATGAAGCTACAGCAGCAAAACTCGCCTTGGTCATCGGGTGTGATATTTATCATATCGAGTTCCAGCCTGAATTTGTCCCTATCGAAAAGTCCACGACTGTTCCTGGGATAGTGTCCAGAAACCCTAGTTCGCCAGTGAGTGTTTACACCAATTGTTATGCCAGTACCATACTATACAAAGATAAAAAAAATCGTACAATGATAAATATACATGACTAAACATATTTCGATAAAATTATTGTATTATTTTTATATCGTAAAGCCTACAGAAACGATTTATCATGAGTTATTTGTAATAGCTGTTGAACCTAATCCCATTCATTCTGATAATAAATAAACCGGGAGTGATCTCCCCTAAACTTTCTCGAATAGTTTTATATAAAATAACAGGGGATGGGAACTCAGGCTATAGACATGATTTTTAATCAATTTTAAATACTTAAAGTTTTAAAAATAGAATAAAATCTCGTAGAAAAAAGAATTGCACACCGAGTGAACGCTAAATCAAAAAGTGCATAATAGTGCACAATATTATTAGTACTTTAAAAATTTACATTAGTTTTTTGAGAAATCGGAAGTAGCGTAAATTACTACTTCCGTTCAACGGAAATTACTCACAATTTAACAGAAGGTAGAAAATTAGTTCTTTTACTTACTTGTGAAATTTCATTTATCTATCTGAAATAGTACTCAAGTTATAGGCTTTTGAAAAATTCAAAGTAGGAAAAGTACCACTTCCGGTTTTCGGAAATCGCTCAAAAGTTAATACGGATCTACGATTTTGATAAATTACTTATATATGAAATTTCATCAACCTAGCTGTAACGGGACTCAAGTTATCGTGTTTACACACGGACACACAGACAGACAGACAGACAGACACAGACACACAGACATACGGACAAGATTGCAAAATTCTGTTTTTCCTTATCAGTGAGGTGTAAAACGTCGAGATTTGTAAAAATCTCGATTTTTTTTTGCACGATTGCAAGACTTTCTCTATACTTTGTATATACGAGAAAGTAAAAATCAATACGTTTTTGTGTGTTTAATGCTCTGTTATCTTTAATAGCTTCCTAAACTATTACAGTAAACATAAACTTACACAAACACATATATACAGATAAATGTATATATATATATATATATATATATATATATATATATATATATATATATATATATACATATACATATATATATATATATATATATATATATATATATATATATATATATATATATATATATATATATATATATATATATATATATATATATATATATATACAATTATATGTTTTACGTTTATGTTCATGTTTACATTCATATGTGTTGTTCTTCTTGTTGTTAGTAATAGCAAGAATGATATTTTATATTTAACAATTCCTAACGATTACGATTTCAAGACCAATAAAAACTTAAGTACCAAATCTTTTTTTAAAATACGGGCTTCCAGTCTACCTAAATTACCGTGGTACTGAACGAGTAATGGAATTCATTATTCCAACTCAGCTCCAACGCAAAAATGCCTTCAGGACTGCCATTTTCAGGGACACCGGCAAGATCAGAATCACAGAAAACAGTAACTTCTGAACCTCTCTTTACTTCTTTTGGTACTATAGATTTATGTAGTACTGAAATAAAATCACTTAAAGCTTTAATTGAGCATATAATAGGGCCTACTGATTTTCTTTTATTGAAATGGCCGTCGAAAGTCGAAAATAAAAAATAAATAAAAAAGTTATTGAATTTAAGCGGTGAATTGAAATGAGATATGCACCCTTTTGCTGCTGCCCCTCTCTCTCTCTCTCTCTCTCTCTCTCTCTCTCTCTCTAAATATATATATATATATATATATATATATATATATATATAAGGAATCCCGTCCTGTGCGTCAAAGCGGTCTAATAATTTGAAACATTCGAGGAAACAAGTTATAAAAATATTCCATTTGTATTTGATTTGAAAGGTATAATTTATTTAAAAATGAAAATAAGATACAATTCAGTAAGGCTACTTTTTGTATTTATATACATTTATGATCATTTACGGTGTATTTGGATACTAGTGATCTCATTTTCTGAATTGATAATGTAAACATTAAAAGCCAATACATTCGCGAGAAGTGGCACATGGGTAGTAAGAATAGAGTCATTTAGGAAATATGTAACAGTCATGGATCATGGAAGATTATGACCACAAAAAATATCTGAACAAATGAAAAAAAACAACAAATTAAATTCTTACATTTAAATGAAAACTAAATGTGAGATACTGAACGGCTGTCGCGAAAAGTGGGTCATTTTATTCCAATTCTCACCAAAGAAGTTTGTGGTACAATTAAAATTTAAAACAATATTTAAAACGAATAGATAATTACACCATAAAAGGAATAAACAATTAACCATAAAAATGTCGACTCTATTTAAATGATTGTGAAGATGCAAAATAATGTTATATGGAAATCTCTGTACAGCTTTATTTCAGAAACTGCAGGCTAAGTTTTGCTTTTTGCTTTACTTTATAATGTCACAAGTACGTTTTGGTCGAAAATTAACGAAATAATTCACCGTTCAAATGTCGCTTTGTCATACTGTTCACGACTCTCCTCCAAGTGTGTCAGCTAATGTTTCATATACTAAAGTAAAGTAAAAAAATCAGAAATTAGCTTGAAAAGTCTCTATATTCATACTAAATTAAGTTAATAGAAGGTTGTAAATTCAATAACGTTAGCTAGGTTAAGTAAGGTTATATTTTGATATTGTAAAAATTAGATTTATTTATTAATAGTTTTCAAAATAGTACATTGAATAATAAACAAAATTAGGTTGAATAAGATATAGTACAGTAGTAGTATTATATTATTTGTATGCCTCTAAGAATAATAATAATAAAAATAACAGAATCGAAGAGTAATTGTGAAGAGCTGATTTATTTTGGATTCCCTTAATTATCTTAATATATTACTTTGTATACTCAATGTCTTATGTAGTATTCTTTTAATTAACTCATAAAATATTGGAGATTTGTTAATAGTCTGTAGAGCCAAAAATTGTCAATAGTCGTAGATGTATTAACTTACAAATAAAATCAATATAATTATCGAACGTTTTATTATAGTAGAATAGTATATTTATATGAATTGATAATAGTAATTATAGTAGCCCAGTTTGAATATCGGTTTTCAACTAATTTTAGAGGTGGATACACATAAGTAGCAAATCTTTATTGATACATTTTAATTTTATTTTTAATTGAATTAATATATGACTTATGACGGGTTATGTGGTCTACGACGAATTCCGAAAGCCACTTGTCCGAATGACGTTTGCCCGAAGGCCGATTTACCTAATGGACACATATCCGAATGCGACAAATGCCCGAATGGACACTTGGGAAATCGGTCTTAGGGGAAACAACATTCGGACAAGTGTGTCTCGGTAAAACGTCCAGCTAGCCTTTTGTCACATGTTTGTAGCTCTATTGTATTGATAGGCCAACTTATAACATAATAAACATATAAAAGTTAACTATTACACATATTTATTTAATAAATGTAAAACCGATGCCATACATAAATAGTCTCAATATTATTCTCTTTTTCAAGACAAGTATTTTTATTGATACCATTATGAGTGAAAGTGTAAAACAGAACGATTTTAATTTAAAAAGATGAAATTTATTTTTGGGTTATGTTTAGGTACTCTAAAACAGCAGCATCCAGAGAGCACATTTTTAAATTTGATCATTTTACTGAATCCTTTAGATCTGCAGACTTAATTGATAGTCTTCTTCTTGTGTAACACTAATATTTAATACCTACCTAATTTAATAATTTACTTGTACTGGTGTAGAAAAAAAAACAATTAAAAAAATATTATCCTAAAGTAGGCCTACATTGTACTTAGGTCTTGGTATATCGCAATACTAATACATTAAATGGTCAGCACAATGTCATCTTTTACTGTCATTGACCATAGTCAGGTACCAGGTAGAGCTGTGTTAAATCCGATATAACTTACAGGATCAAGATCCTGATTTAAACTTAAGAACTTTTGTTTTAGCAGCTATATTCACAACTGTGTACTAATATAAGTCTTCCATATGCATATTATTTACATTTGTGTTTCTATGAATATCTAATATATCATTTGTTAAAATTATATTCCTTATCAAAACAAAATAGGCCTACTGAAATAAAAATATATTTTATTAAAAGAAGGAAATAACTAATACAAAGTTCATAAAAACAGCAAATAAGAGAATGTGAAATGTTCAGCTGTGATAAACTCTTATTTCTAATATTAACAGAGATACACACAAGCAATGGAAAATATTTGGGTTTTAATGACTAATCAATGAGTTGATTATAAACAGTAGAAAAATACTGTAGTTGTTGTCCATAAAAAACATCAAACTCGGAGGGTGTGGAGCAGATTCAAGCTGTTGGTACAACGAGGGTGGTGGTGTACAGAATGTAAAATGACAAGCTTTTGCTTTGCATTTTCAAACAGTCATGTTTAAAAAATGGATTTTAGCTTTTCGGCGTTATTAAAACCAATGCTATAAATTGTTATAAGATAATTGATGAAACGGTTTACATAAATTATTGTTGGCAGAGCACATAAGCCTTAAATATTTTCATATAAAAAAAATCGCTGTTTTAAACACAAAATAGCAATATGTAAGGAAAGTGGGATTGTGGATGGATGAGGTTAACTTTATGTGTTGGAGGTCTTGCTTTTAAAAAAAAATATTTAGAGGATGTGAGGGGAGGGGGTGTGAGTGAAAAAAACGTGACATCGGTTATGGACCATCCCATATGATAGTCATATGTTCAAAATGTCCCATTGGATTTATTAGACATGCATTAAAATAGTCATGTAAGTGTTGATATTAAATAGCCTTCAATTATTATTTCAATGGGGTATAGCCTAGTAGCTTATTTATATAATATAACATCCTTATCACTACAACACAGTGACTCAATCAAAATTAAAAATACAAGTGTTCGTCAATTTATTATTATTTTGCTATTAAGTAGGCCTATTTGTTTGAATATGTCTAGTCTTAATAAAACAGGAATTAATTTTGTACTTATTTCACACATGTAAAATATTCAATTTTATAAAAATATGCTTTCTGGTTACAAGCATATGGGTAAGCACTAATTGGATGTCGCGCTTTTTGTGGCGAATAGATTAATATTAATTATATTCTTACATTAATTTTAATACAGTATAGCATGAATGTGTTGCTGGTTTATTGGACGTACGCTTATACGTTTCCTAAATTAAGGTAGCGCTAGTTTTGTATACCTTAACTTTAGTTTATAGCTGAACCTCAGTAGATTTACAAAATCTGGTTGATTTGTATAAATGTAAAAGATTTTCAGATTATTTTTAATTGATAAGTAATTATGTTAAAAACAAAGTTGAACATTATGTAAGGAGGTTCTTGACATTTTGTGTATACAAGTTATCTTCCTTTGACTTAGCCCCATTGGTACACATTATTTGTAAAAGGTCAACACTAGATCTAGATTTAAATACAGTATGGCTAAGTCAACATTGGTAATGTCTTGTTAAAGAATTATAGACCTAAATTATGAGCTTACCTTGTGCTGATATGGACCAGACACCCAGGAATGCTAATGATACCGCAATTAGAGCCATGTTTGCTTGTTCACTATATCTTCATGTTTATAAAGTACTTATTTTCTGTGATTTCCGTTTTTTATCTTGAAGTCGAAGACCCAATGTACATGTTTTAAATGCGCACCAATTTTACGGGTAACATAAAATGCAGGACTTAACTTAAAAACAAGCCGTAAGTAGCCTACCCGTTGCACGCGAATTGTAGGCGTATAATTTAACTTTCTCGTATACGAAGTATAGAGAAATTATTGTAATTATATGTGATATTGTAATGCAATCTTGTCCATATGTCTTTTTGTATTGGATCATTTTATTTCAAATTAAGTAAGATTACATAGATTTTTCAAACCTATGAAACGGCATTCATGGAATTAAATAAAGTCAGGACGGTTAATCTTCCTAAGAAAACGAATCAAAACTTGATTTATTAACGTTTCAAATTTTCTTCTATATGATTTTTTATATATTTTTTTTTCGATGTTATTTTTAGAAATGTTTTTGTAGCTTATTTCACGATTTAAAAAAAAAAAGTATGGTACTTTGGTACATCAGTGCGCGTTTTCCCAAAAGTACTTAATAGATCAGTTCGAGATGGGTTGGGGGGGGGGGGGGGTACAACTTAATTCACCACTTTCCTGTCACTTTAGGTCGATTATCCAACCCAGCATATACATAGGTGTGACATTATCGTCGCTCTACACAATTTTGGAGGTGTGGTCTGGGGGGGGGGGAGAGAATAACCTTTTCAGAGTGAACATAGCATCAGTTTTTAGATCACAGTTCTAAACATACATATAAAATTATACATATATAGACCCTACTTATCCAGAAACGTATTTAAGTAAGTAACAGTGGTATTATGACAGTAAAAAACAATACAGAGTTTGACTTTAGTTATAGGCTTTTGAAAAATTCAAAGTAGAAAAAGTACAACTTCCGGTTTTCGGAAATCGCTCAAAAGTTGATTAGGATCTACGATTTTGATAAAATACATATTTATGAAATTTCATCAACCTAGCTTTAACGGTACTCAAGTTATCGTGTTTACACACACACACACACACACACACACACACACACAGACACACAGACATACGGACAAGATTGCAAAATTATTTTTTTCCATATCAGTGAGGTGTAAAACGTCGAGATTGTAAAAATCTCGATTTTTTTTTTTGCACGATTACAATACTTTCTCTATAGGCCTACTTCGTATATATGAGAAAGTAAAAAAAAATAAACAAAGACATATGTCCTTCGGTCCATTTTCAAGGGATGTAACCTTTTTGAGATAATTATTTTTTCAAATAAATGTATACTATTTTAAACAGAAACAGAAAATGACAAAGTATAGCATTTGCTTTAGTTAAAAAATTGAGTTGTTAATTAAGCTACGTAATCTAATTAAATAAAAATATTAATTTTAAAAGTCAATGTAATATAAATTATGAGATATACTGTTCATAGAACCTCTGTAGTTCTATTTCCATTTTAGTCATAGATTGCGTACTTTCAGATATTATCTCTGAAATCGGATGTTAAACAACCGACAACAAAATCTTCTCTTTTAGAAGCATTACTGTTTAAATTTAAGCACTCCACACCTCATTCATCACTAAATAATTAAGTATTCAAATTCTCAAATGTTTTTGAAAACCTAAGCGAATTAGGCAGTATGCCTAGTTTTTGATAACTAAAGTGCTCACCGTCTAAATTAATGACACACATATGAATGCTATGTTGAACGTCACAAGTATAATTTATACTCTCGGATAAATGATTCTTGCAAGCAGGAATCTAAAAAATGTCTTAATACAAAATTGAAATGAATACTCGTTACCGAAAACTTAAATCGTTAATTTGGATTTGGAAAATAATTATGGATTTAAATGAGCTGATTAGCATAAACCAACAATGATTGACATTTAACCTGAACTAATGAAAACGAAAAATGAGAAAATAAAACTGGCACAGATCCAAGTGGCAATGTTGGTTTAAGGTACTATCTGGTACGTTCGGCTCTAGACAAGCGATTTAAAAACTAAACCATCGAGACACTTGAGACGGGCGTCGTTTTGTTCAGCACAAATATATGAACTAGCTTTGTCATGGTTCACTACGCACGCAATAGGAACTAATGACAGTCATGTTTCTTCTTGTACGTGCCCTATATAAGATTGATCGATAAATGAAATATCAGGTGAAATAATGGATTGAAATTGTCACTGTAACAAAAACTAAATTGAATCTTAGATGGGTCAACTATATATTTAGACGAAACCGGCACGGATTGAAATAACTACTCGGGATTATAAAATAATAGCGTGCCCGTCCCCGCGCGTTACCGCGGGGATAGAAGACAGTATGACGTATTATTTTAAGAGGGTTCAATTATTGCGTTACTGATCTTATATTCTTATATGAGTGACCTTGTTTTTAAAAATGAGTTATTTAAATGCAAACAATACCTGCTCAAGAAAGTATGACGTAATATTTTAAGAGATTTTCATCATTGCGTTAATTATATTATATTCTTAGACGTGTGACCTTGTTTTCTAAAACTGAATCATTCAAATGTAAACAGTACCTACGCTTGGATCATGTTTATCACGGCATGTGTTTATCTACACTAACGCATGAAAGCCTTGAGTGCACGTTATTCACTAACCGAAATAGCAAGGTTGAACAGGCTTTAGTGACCGCTCTGGTGTCAGGAATGTAAAGGGGCGCTTTAGGGAGTCCCCGATTACACAACCGCAGGGGCACCGCGTTCTGCTCCTGGCTCTTTAAAACTAACGTAAGCGCCATGGGGATCATAGGATAATCAAGGGCAGCATTGGGCTGTTCTTGGTAGGTTGTCAGCTACAGGGTATTTTCTTCCCTGGGTTGTCCTATAGTGGTCTGACTGCTGCTATAATTTTCTCGATTATCTAGTTGTTTGTCAACTCCTGGGCTGCTCACTCTGTTGTTGGCTCCTAGGATGGTTAGCTCCGTGGTTGTTTGGCTCCTGGGCTGGTTGGCTCCTGGGCTGGTTGCTCCGTGGTTGGCTCCTGGGCTGGTTGCTCAGTGGTTGGCTCCTGGGCTGGTTGGCTACTGGGCTGGTTGCTCCGTGGTTGTTTGGCTCCTGGGCTGGTTGGCTCCTGGGCTGGTTGCTCCGTGGTTGTTTGGCTCCTGGGCTGGTTGGCTCCTGGGCTGGTTGCTCCGTGGTTGTTTGGCTCCTGGGCTGGTTGGCTCCTGGGCTGGTTGCTCCGTGGTTGTTTGGCTCCTGGGCTGGTTGGCTCCGTGGTTGTTTGGCTCCTGGGCTGGTTGGCTCCTGGGCTGGTTGGCTCCTGGGCTGGTTGGCTCCTGGGCTGGTTGGCTCCTGGGCTGGTTGGCTCCTGGGCTGGTTGCTCCGTGGTTGGCTCCTGGGCTGGTTGCTCCGTGGTTGGCTCCTGGGCTGGTTGCTCCGTGGTTGGCTCCTGGGCTGGTTGGCTCCTGGGCTGGTTGGCTCCTGGGCTGGTTGGCTCCTGGGCTGGTTGCTCCGTGGTTGGCTCCTGGGCTGGTTGGCTCCTGGGCTGGTTGGCTCCTGGGCTGGTTGGCTCCTGGGCTGGTTGCTCCGTGGTTGTTTGGCTCCTGGGCTGGTTGGCTCCTGGGCTGGTTGCTCCGTGGTTGGCTCCTGGGCTGGTTGCTCCGTGGTTGGCTCCTGGGCTGGTTGGCTCCTGGGCTGGTTGGCTCCTGGGCTGGTTGCTCCGTGGTTGGCTCCTGGGCTGGTTGGCTCCTGGGCTGGTTGCTCCGTGGTTGGCTCCTGGGCTGGTTGCTCCGTGGTTGGCTCCTGGGCTGGTTGGCTCCTGGGCTGGTTGGCTCCTGGGCTGGTTGCTCCGTGGTTGTTTGGCTCCTGGGCTGGTTGGCTCCTGGGCTGGTTGCTCCGTGGTTGTTTGGCTCCTGGGCTGGTTGGCTCCTGGGCTGGTTGGCTCCTGGGCTGGTTGGCTCCTGGGCTAGTTGGCTCTTGGACTGCTTGGCGCCTAGACTGATTGGCTCCTCGACTGCTTGGCTCCTGGGCTGCACGTTCAGTGGGCTGCCCTTATAGTCATCAGCTTAGGGCTGGATGCTGGTTCATTTCTACTAATGCTTAGGTTCGTTGCTCCGTTAATGGTGTTAGGTTAGTTTACGTCCGGTGGATGGTTGTCTGTTAGTTGTTAAGTAGTCCTTCGTTTGTCCGTTGTCATTTAGTGGTGTTAATTAGGTTCGCTGGTTGGTTTTCGTATGTTGATTGGTGGTCTAGTAGTTGGTTAGTTGTCGTTCGTTTGTCCTTTGTCGGTTGGTTGTGTTCGGTTTTTTGTGTGTTGTCTGTTAGTGAGTTTGTAGGTGTTAGTTTTTGTTTTTGTTTGGTGTGTACACACGCGCATTAAGCACTTATCTGTTACTCATATCTGACCATCTACTTGATGTGTCCTCTCGGTGATAAGTCCTCTTGGTGATAATTCCTCTCGGTGATAGGTCCTCTTGGTGATAAGTCCTCTCGGTGATAGGTCCTCTTGGTGATAAGTCCTCTCGGTGATAGGTCCTCTTGGTGATAAGTCCTCTTGGTGATAAGTCCTCTTGGTGATAAGTCCTCTTGGTGATAAGTCCTCTTGGTGATAGGTCCTCTTGGTGATAGGTCCTCTAGGTGATGGGTCCTTATGGCGGGTTCTCTCTGCGATGCTTCCTCTCTGTGGTGGGTCCCTTTAATGAAGGTTTATCTTGTTGATGGTCCACTCGTTAATGAGTTTACATTCTCATGACGTATCATCTGGTCGACAAGTTATAATGATCACTGAGCAACCATGAAGTGGCGGGGTGTAGAACACACAATCGTTCTAACTTAGCCAAGTAACAAATCCTAATCCACTACAGAATGCACACCTTCACAAAACTTGACATTTGATAACCAAACAGAACTAAGTATAACTACTTTATCTTGGCTGATCATTTCAAGAGTCAATAGCCCAGAGCTTTTTTTACACTAACACCACATATTACCAGGCGGGGATTTTTGAAGAGCTTGATAAAGATAATA